AAACTTTTCCCTCCCCAACTTCCTTTTTGGTAATGGGGTTTATCTTAGCAACAGACAGCAAACTAGGTCACACGCTGGGCTATTTTTGATGGAATTCATTATCTCCAGTTCTGACCAAGAGGTCTGGATTCTATTTCCATGACAGCCACCTGTGTGAAATGACCGAGGATCAGGGAGATTGAGCTCAGAGTGAAATGAAGGTTACTAATGTGGTTTTGGTTTGTTGGCTTTGTGTTTCGATTTAGCTCAGTTTCTTAGAGAAGTTGGCTGAGGCAAGGAAGGCACACCAACCAACACAGAGCCCAGCTCCAGCCTGGGCTCCAGCGGCACTCTCCTGCTCCTTCCCTTGCTCACATGCGCTAGACGTGGCATGCTCCTGAGCCTGGGCTTCAGTGAGACGCTCCTAGGCCCAGTCTTCAGCGGCATGCTCCAGCTGGGTTCCAGCAGCATGCTCCAGCTGGGTTCCAGCAGCATGCTCCTGGGTTCCTGGGCTCCAGCGGCACGCTCCTGTGCCTGCCCTTGCTCACACGTGCTAGCTATGTGACTTGATGGGGTGCTTAACTTCCCTCAGCTTCTTCATTGGTAAAATGGGGTAAGACAAGGCTCGCCCTCTGTAGATTGATCATAAGAATGAAACAGTTTTGATACAGAAACCCCTTTGTCATGTAGACTGTAGTTGGAGATTTAGCTATTCGGGTGTTCCGGTTTTGAATGTATCTTCATTCTGTGCGTTGTCAGGAATTGTGTACCCAAACCTCTGGGGTACTAGATGCGTTGTGGAATAATGAAAATGCCAGAATTTAGAGAAATAACACAGGGAAGGAACCCTCTCTTTGGCTATGAAATATCCTTGGTGGTATCTGGAAGCTGCCTCAAAAGCAGACAATAATATTCCTTCAACAGAGAAACAAATATTCATGTAACTAGCTAACCATAAGTAGAGTGAGCAGGTTTAGGCCGTGTTGCTGAATGTTTCTGACAAACTTGGAACATTTACTTCTTCCGGGCTGTAGGATGGGAACGGGACCCTGCTTTCTTCTCATGCTCAAGAGCAAAGGGCATTTCCTGAGACTGAAAGCAAAACCCAAACACCTCGGTGGGTCCACTCACCTCTGCGTATTCGTGGAACGGGGAAATGCCAAGGGCCTTCCAGTAGGATTTGGTGTCCAGTTCCACTCTGTACACCCCTTCTACGAACTTCTCATCTGTGGTGAGCCCGTGCAGCTCTCCAGATTCAGCAGTCTTCCTGGAAGGCACAAAGGTCCAGGTGAAGTTAGGGGAAAAGAAGGGTATGTATGTGAGTGTAACATGTATGCATGTGTGTGTATGTACATACATGTAACTGTGTACTTCATTTCTACCAAGTGAATCAAGGTTGAGGAAATTCTTGTGTTTGTGATAAAATAATAAAAAAATGGCAAGAAATTCATAGAAGCTTTGCGTACAGCTTTTTGTAGAGTTCTGTCTCATGACAATAACATGCAGTAGAATGTTTACCTTAAAAGCCTTAATCCAGGCACGTGGGGCTCACCTGTTATCCTAGTGCTCTCTGGGTAGAGGCCGGAGGGTTGCTGCAGGTTTGAGGGCAATTTTGGTTTATATAGAGAGCACTGGACTAGATGGGACCCTGTCTCAAAAATTATTAGTTTTATTTTTTTAAAAGAAAGAAAAGGAAAGCCTTAACGCCCAGATGTGTTGCTCAGTGGTAGAGTTCCTTCCTAACATTTGTATGCCCCTGGAATCAGTCCCCAACAACAACAGCACACACACACATATACACACTGTTGCAGACTAACATTTGTATACCCCTGGAATCAGTCCCCAACCACACACACACACACTCTATTGCATTCAGGGTTAATGACTTGATGAAGTTCATGACTGTCCCTGAAAGTGTCACAAGCTGTTCTAACTCTGAAGACCCCTGTGACAGTGGAGTGACAGGCCAGTGTCCCACAGCGTAAGAGTAACTTGCAGGGGTAGTGTTGTTTGTCAGCGTACAAAACCTAATAAACAAAGAAGAACTTAACTGCTTTCTCCTTTTCTAAGTTTAATCTGCTTGGTGATTCTTTGCCAACAAGAAATACCAAGTGGCTTCCATTTTCACGTAGGCTCCAGTTCCTCACGGAAATGTCAGAAACTGCTTCCCATTTAGTTACAACTGAGACAGACGAGTGGCAATTGTCTTTAGTGACTCTGGCCATCCCTGTCCCCTTCTCTCTAACCTCCCTCTGGTGTGTGTACAAGAAAGAAGGTCCCAAGAAAGTTTGAATATTTGGGTGTTGATTCTATGTCCACTTAGAATTCCCTGACCACTTTGTGTGCTGTGCTCGACACACATATGATCACAAAGCAGTTAACAAACAGAAACTCAGCTAACACTTCACTGAAGAAGATGATCTTCCAGTGATTAGAGAAGAAATTAGTGCATCTTGGTATTCAATTAAAACTTAATAGAAAGTCTTTACCCGGGAGACATAAGGACCTCGCCATTCTGCTAGGTGTTAAGGGTGCCTTAGCTGCTTTTTCTTTTGGTTCATTTGTTTAGGTTAATTAGTAATTCATTTGAAATTCTTGTGGTGGTCAAAACACACACACACACACACACACAGACACACACAGACACACAGACACACACACACACACACCTGTGGCCTGCACAGGTGGGAAGTCATCTTGGCATGCTAGTGGCGGGTGTGAGATTGCTCAGCCCCTGGCTTTTGGCTTGCAGATCTCTATAGATGTGTTTCTTATTAAGCAGGGTGGCTGCTAGCCTTACACAGAGCTGTTCTGTTCTGAGTGTACATGAAAAAAAAAAAAAAAGCCCCTGATTCTGGTTAATGCGAGTAAACCCCAGCAGGGCGCTTCGTCAATTCCTTTCATTTCAATAATAAATCAGTACATGTATATCCTTCTTAAGATTCTAAGATAAGAAATAAAAAATAAGAGCAAAAAAAAATGGACACAAGAGATTCTGAAAAATCCAAATTTACAATTCTGAAAATTACTCTCTCTCTCTCTCTCTCTCTCTCTCTCTCTCTCTCTCTCTCTCTCTCTATATGTGTTTATTGTGTGATTGTGTGTATTGTTTTATGTGGTGCCTGAGCCATCTCTGCAGTCCCTAGAGACTAGTTTTCTTCACCTTCCTCAAGTGGGCTGTGACGGAAAGAATTGCAAACTCCTACCGAAGCCCAGGAGTTACTGCCTCTCCTTTTCTCTCCCTTCAGGCCTAGCCTGTGCTAAGCAGAGCAGGAAGCCAGCTTTCTTAAGAAAGGTCTCCCCATTTCTTTAGCCTTCTAACAGATTCTTTAGCTGAAAGTTTTCTTTTAAAAAAAATAATATTTGTTTCCTTTTACTTTATGTGTATGAATGTACAGCCTGCATGTGCGCCTGAGCACTACACACATGGTGGTAAGAAGAGGATATTGGTTCCACAGAATCTGTTGTTACTGATGATTTTGAGCTGCCATTTTGGTGCTGGCAGCCAAACCTGTGTCCCCTACAAGAGCAGAGAGTGCTCTTAACCGCTGAGACATATCTCGCAGCCCTATAGCTGGTCTGCTGTGTGTGCTCACTTCCCATGAGCAGAAGGGTGACTAGAAAGAGAGAACCAATCCCTCAGCAGGATGCTCTGCTAGCTTACCCAGAGGCAAATGGTTCCCAGGTTCCCTGAGCTGTCTTTTTGAACACTTGCACGGCCACATCCACAGCAGGGCTTCCTCGGACAGCATCCAGGACTTTGACCATCAGAGGACACTTGGATGCTCCGGGGCCCTGGGCAGAGAGAGGACAAGAGAGGTGTCAGTGAAATTGATCCGAGTAGAAGGGCTTGTTCTTTCTGGGGTTAGAATCTGGAACAAAACCAAAAGTACACGCTGATCCCATTGCGATAACGTAAGTGTTGACAATTAATGAGCTTCTTTTGCAGTCTGACACAGGCAGCATTGTTTTCAAAGCAAGAGCAGCCTCTGCCTCCAGCCACACTGCTGTGCACCAGGGACCTGTATAAAGTATTTCCAAAGGGCAAGCGGGCCTCTGAGAGCCATCGCCCTGTTCACCTCCTAACGGAGCCACTGAAAAGGTGCATGGTCTTTTCCTCGAGATCATTCTAATCAGCTGCTGCAGTAGTAATTCTCTCCATTGTAACCTAACACCCACGTACTTCCTGACCCACTTAACTGTACTGACTCACTCTTCCAGAGGACTTCGTCAGACACTAGAATAGAGTGTTGCTTCCCCCAAGATAATGATCAATAATACATTTTGATTAGCTAAAGAGCCAAAATATAACCTTACACAATAAGTATAGTAAACATAATGCTACTAAATATATTAAATGTATTTATGAGGATTCACTATTAACAGCCCCACTGATGATGCACTTTGTTCTATAGTCGTAGGTTGAACACAGGCCTTTCCACATGTTAGGCAGCCAGTGAACCACTAAACAACCTCCCCAGGACTTTTATATCTCTATTTCTATGTTATTTCATATTTTTATTATCTAAGGACATCAAGATAATGAGTATTAGACTCAATGCGCCAACACAACAGAAGAAAGAGTCAAGGGTCTAGACCCCAGGTCTCCCCTTTGGAGTTTAATGGGAAACATAGATTCTGGGCACCCCTGACTTAATAATACCCGCTAGTTACCAAAGCTGGAGGAAGCTACTGCTCCTTTACCCAAGGTGCACCCACCATGTCTGGAAAGACTTCCACAGGACACTTACCGCAGGGCCAGCCTCAGACATAAACGCCAGTCCAGCGAGGCAAAGGAGGAAGAGGTGAGGGGAAGCCATTCTGCTAGGAGCCAGTGGACCTCTGTGAAGGCCGCGTCCAGTTGGAGGGGCTTTTATACTCCCGCCTCCCAAGCCAGGCTGCTGATCCCTGCCAATCTGACTCCAAACCTGCTGATTCTGATTATTGACTTAGTCAACAAAGGGAGAATAAGTAACCTACACAAATATGAACCTTGTCTAGGGAGATTAGAGCAACGGAACACCGCTCTATGGAATATTCTTAACTGGTCATTTGACCAGTCAGATCCGCACAACCAAGTAATCTAAACCAAAGGAAAACAGCCTGCTATTCTGGCTGAATGGAGTCAAATTCTTGGGATTTTTTCCCTTTATTGATTTCTGTGCATCTTTTTCAGTTTCCATACATGTTTCTCTTTGATTTTATATGATAAATATAAGTTGTATTGATTTATTTCATGCTTATTGACATCTGGCTGCCCAGGTTTAGCAGTAGTGCGTTAGGTAATAACACTGCATTAGGTTATGAGCCAACAAGGAAGACCTCCTCGGCAGTTAAAAAAATTCTGTGTAGCTCTTTCTTTTCCAGTTGCAGGCGCTTCGGAAGCAGCCGATTACCGTCAAGCCATGGCCAAGTCCAAGAACACAACCAATCCCGGAAATGGCACAGAAACGGCATCAAGAAACCCCGGTCACAAAGACACGAATCTCTCAAGGGGGTTGACCCCAAGTTCCTCAGGAACATGCGCTTTGCCAAGAAGCACAACAAGAAAGGCCTGAAGAAGATGCGGGCAAATAATGCAAAGACCATGAGTGCACGTGCGGAGGCCATCAAGGCCCTGGTGAAGCCCCAGGTGGTGAAGCCCAAGGTGCCAAAGGGCCCCAGCCACAAACTCACCTCTCTCGCTTTCATTGCTCACTCCAAGCTTGGGAAGCGGATTAGAAGCTACATGGCCAGGGGTCGTAGGCTCCAAAAAACAAAGCCCAAGGTTCAAGCCAAGGCAGAGGCCTCAGCTGCAGCTCAGGCTCCTAAAGGTGCCCAGGCCCCTGTGAAGGCCCCATAAAAAAGTCTCAGTCTGTCAATGTGAAGACAGATGGACTGGTGTGAACACCTACACAGTATTTGCAGATGTTCAGGACCTTATGCTGTTTTTACAAATAAACTTGAGGCAAGTTCTGTTAAAAAAAAAATTCTGTGTAGTCAAACTAAGTTCCTTGGAAGCTTTGCTTTTTGTCTCTGTGTGCATGTGACATTTCTCCATTCCTAGATTGGGTTCATCCCAACCCCAGGAATAATGTTGTGTTTCAGATTGCTTTTGTGAGGTTAAAATGCAGAAATTTGTACTGAGTCTCCTCATTGAGAATGCAGGAAACAAGACACTGGCTAATTTTTCAGAACTGTAATTTCTGGAAGGAAGTGGAGATGGTTGTGAGAAGGAGATGCTGTTCCTGATGACGTCAGCCGCAGTGACAAATCCAGAAAGTCAGAGATTAGATGATTCGCTGAGAAGGCACTTTGTGTGTGTGTGAGTGTATGTGTGTGCGTGTGTGTGTGAATGTGTATGTGCATGTGTGTGTATGTGTGTGTACATGTGTATATGTGTGCACGTGCCTGAGTGTGAGTGTGTATTGCATGTGTGTATGTGTGTTTGAGTGTGTGTGTGTGTGTGAGAGAGAGAGAGAGAGAGAGAGTAAATTAAGGCAGGTTTTTATCCTTACAGGGATATGTACTAGGTACACAGAAGGTGTTTGTTTCAGACATATGTCAAGGGTAAGTATAGCTTGGGACACTAGAGTTGGGGAGACAATCCCATGGCTGATTGAACCAGGTTAGAAGAGGGTCATCAAGAAACCATGAAGGGTCCTAGCTCTCAGGGAAATGTGGAAGGGACAGGAAGGTATCCCGGAATATAAAATGTGCAGAAGCTTTTGGGAAAGAAGGTAGCTATAGGAAAACAACTGTGAGCAGATACAGCAAGACAAAGTTTCCTTCCAGGCCCACAGCTTAGAGGCTGACAGGGTTGGAGGGTCTGACTCAGCCAATCCTAGACCTAATCAATAACTTATTTACTTCTGGAAATGGTTTCCTCTCTATGTTATCAATCCACATGTTTGTAAATCAGAAACATCCGCATTTCTTCTTGTAGGGCTGTGGAATGATATAAATGCACCTTATCACCTGGAGAACACAGCTCTAACCTCATATAGTATATATGTATAGAGTGTACTGGAGAGCCAGTATCTGTGCCTCTGGAGGAAATGCTTCCTCCAGCATCTCATGCATTGTCATCCGGAAGTGACTTCATTATTTTCCATTGCTCAGAATGATAGAAAACTCTTCTCCATAGAGGAATCCCAAATAGTTGAAGGTTCTTTCACTATCCAGAGAAATCTCCCACCCAAGTGTGTCAACTCCACAGATTGTTGAAACCAAGAATCACCTCCCTGGGATCCTTTAAACTGACAGAGCTGGGCTGCCACCTGCCCACACACACCACTGCTTCTCTCAAATTTTAAAATATTTGCAAAATTATTAATCAAACCATGTTGTATTAAAAGCTGGACTTTTGGCTCATCCTGAAAAACTGGAAGATGGCAGCAATTGGCTTACATCCCATGAACAGAATCCGTGGGGTCCCATGCTGGGACATGTCGGTTTCCTAAGTTCCCCCAACTCTGAGACCAGATGACTTTGCTACTGGCCCTGTCATGCTTCAGGTTTCGTTTTGGTTTTGAATGCACAGTCTGTAGCCCCGATCCACCGTAACGCCCAGCCTCTTTATAGATTTGTTGCGACTGCTGGTCTTCTGACAGCGTATTTTCTCCTGCCAAATAAACATGCCTACTTCTTTGAGAGATTTCTCTTCAGACCTGGGACCTGGGATCCTCTGGACCCAGGACTTTGTCCTCTGGCTTCCTCTCCCTGGTCATTCTCTTCCAATGTGATGCACTGAACCGGAGGGACACTCCAGATAAGATCATGTCAACCCTGAGGACATGGTGCTAAGGCTTCAGGCTCCCTGGGCAAGGGTGCTCTGTGGACAATGTTGCACCCTGAGTGCACTCATAACTTTATTCCCCGTGACACCCTCCTACTCTGCATCCGACACAGCCATGGAGTAGACAGCATGAGCTCTACTCATTTACCAACCTTGTTTGCTTTGATTTGCTGTAGCTTTAGCTGGCCTGGAGCTCACTATGTAGACCAGGCTGGCCTTGAACTCAAAGGCCATCTCTGTCATTTATAAATTTTAATCTAAGTATTGGAGCCAAATGCATCTCTGACCATTACATATGGTTCTGATCCACCACCTTATCTTGCTGACTTTTGATAATTGATTCGACTAACCAGTGGATTAAAACAACAACAACAACAACAACAATCCAAAGACTTTCATTTTCTCGCTTTTTGAACCAGTGCTGGCCTAGAAACCATCTTCTTTAAAGTTTAATTTGAAAGAGACCAGGGTGTGAAGAGGAGGGGAGGTGATCTGAACCAGGGGAGGGTCTCGAGTGTGGTGGGGAAAGCTACTGACGACCTTACAGAGATGGAGATTATTAAAGCGTGTTTGAACAGAGCCTGGGAGATCAGCAGGTAGACTGTCTGTGGTCTGAGTCAGAGGTCAAGCAGCATTTTATGTGATGGAGCAGAACAGAAGGAAAAGTTGACAGAGTAAGAATACATTCTTTGTCCCCTCACGGACGACCACCTAACACTTTTTGCCTGCAAGCTCGCTCGTGTGTGCTGGGAATGGGCTGCATGGAGAAACATCATTTTCTACAGACAGGGGGGCAATGCCTTTTGGTGTTCAGTTGAATTTGTCAAAGCTCTTCATGGAGGATGGTTGCAGGGATCCGTCAAGAGGGATGAATTCATGTCAAAGTTCATCACTGTCCTGGAGCCTCTCTTGCAGACGTTGCGTGGTCTGCGGTAATACCAACAGCAGCTAAAATCCGCAGCTAGAGGATGCATTTGGTGCTTAAGTTTTTAAGTTACAGGTTGATGGCTTTCCTTAGACCTTTACTGTTTTCTTCATGTTCTGACTGTGGTGCCATAGCCCACATGCTTGACTAAGGGGAAGACTAACTTAATGACAACATCTCTCGTCCCACTACCAAATACGTGGTAGTTAATGAACAACTCTGGCTGGCTCGTAGCTTGAGATTTCTCTGCCTTCTCCCTTAAAAATTTACAGCCTTATTTGACTCATCTTTTCATCTCCTAAACAATTTCTTCATTTGTTTTCCGAATGTGCACAGCCAACACCTAGCCGGTAGTTCATAGGCCCTGGAATGCTTGCTAATACTATTGCAGTAAGCGGATTAGCAAGAAGGGGGTTGGAGGGCCAAGTGCTTGGGCTGCACCTCATGGTGAGGGTGTTAGAAGGAAAGAAATAACAGTGTTTGGATCTTTGCAGGTCAAGAATTCAATTTTGTTAGCTCACCTTGAGGTGGAAAATTCTGGAGGTTTGATTAATGCTAAGCAAATCATAAAGTCTCATTTTAAAACCATAATGCGGATTTAATTAATAGTCAGATGATCTTCTGGTAATCAAGGATTTAGAGCAAGAGGGCTTTGCACGTTTTGCGAGGATGTTTTCTAGGTGGGAGAACCTAGCTAAGCTTGCTTACTTCATTACTGAATATAATTGTTTTTTGACATTCTGAACATACTTGTACCTGCCTCGTCTAGAGTGTCTTCCCCCCTGGAAGCTGAGCACATAATAAAAAGGCCTTTTTCTTTTCCTCTTCCTTTCTCTGTCTTCTAACCATCCAACTGAAGACCAATATTCTCCAGGATATGGTCATTACATCACCTTGTAGTTTTGGTTCATTGTAGTTTCACGCCCATCACTGGCCATCCTAGCTGGAAGCAACAGTTGAGAACACCCTTGTGTAAGAATGTCCCCCTTCTCACCCTACGCATGCTGCCATATACTGTATTGGTTGCTGTGCTCACACTTAGTTAATTACTTTGTCCTTACATAGACATACGATGTGATGAGCGTTCTGGCTTTTAGAAGGCTCTGAAGATCTTCCTCCTAGGCTATGTGGACAGAAGGGAAGGTTCAAGTCCTTTTGTTAAGTAGATGGGTTTCCTTTGGTTTCTCTTTGCCATTCCTTGCAGTTTTCAGGTGGTTAGGGAGTCCCAACAGATTGAGATTGCTTGGCATTTAGACCTGCTTGGCTACACTCTGTGGAGGGTGAGTAGGAGCTATTGGAGCCCATTGGAGAGGTGGTAAAGACTAGATGTCTTTCCAGTATAAACATGTCATTGGCTACTTCATAGCTTAGCCCAGTTTCCAAGGAGACTGCACTAGGCTTGGGACAACAGTACCAGCTAGAACGAAAGATCTGACTGATCTTTTGTCTGTACTCACATCTTCCCTAGAATTACCTGCTCTGGTCTGTGGTCATAAACCATCATCAAGGATTCAGGTTTTGGTTTTGCCCACTGCTATTATCTTCTGACTTGGGAGGTATGACTGATGAAGAGACATTGTAGGTTCAATTGATTAAAAAGAAGTACACAAGTCAATGTGAAACCTGCTTTTGATTTGAATCTTTTTTTTTTTTTTTCTATTTTAGTTTTCTGAGACAGTGTATCGCTGTAGCTTTGGAGCCTATCCTGGAACTAGCTCTTATAGACCAGGCTGGCCTCGAACTCACAGAGATCACCTGCCTCTGCATCCCAAGTGCTGGGATTAAAGGTGTGCGCCACCACCACCTGGCCTTCATTTGACTCTTAAGGAAAGATTGAGCTGGAAGCAGTTGATGAATGGCCAAGAATTCATGGACAGGAGTGACTTTGGGTTCATGAAGGGAGAAGATTTTATTTTTATTATCAAAGATAACAGTACCTAAGTATAAACTAAGTATATACTAAGTATTAAAAAAGAAATTGTGCTTGCAATTCTTTCCTCACTTGAGAGAAGTGTGTGAGTCTCCAGTTGATGAAGGGGAGGGAGAAATGAATGGCCTAAGTCCTGTAGGGCGTGGAAAGGAGGAAAACCCAACACCTAGAATCAGTAACCAAGAATAGACTGACAAAAGCATCAGGTTTTTTTTTTTCACCTCCGTTGTTACTTTGTATGCACTCTTCTGTTTATGTGGAGGTCTTTTGTCAACCCCGGGTATTGTTCCTCAGGTTCCACTTTGTTTTCAGACAGAG